TTTTTTAAAACATTGCTCCTGAGTGCTGCATAGTATTCCATCATGTAATTGTACCACAGTTTCTCAATCCATTTGATTATGGTTGGACATTTGGGTTGTTTCCATATTGTTGCAATTTTGAATATCACTGCTGTGAACAATGATGTGCTGAAATACCTTTAAATGCTAGAGTTGATGTCCTCTACTCCCTTTGTAACTGACAGCGTGTCATTCTCCACCCTGTAAGATAATGAGAAAAATGTTTTAAATAAAATTCTTTTAAGTTGACAAAGAATGCTCCCTCGTTCATGTAAAGATGAGATGGCGTTACTATTTACCTTAGTATTTTCTTTCATTGTTTTAATGTCTTTAAATACTAATTTCTTATATATTATTTTTTACTATTCTATACCCACTATCCTCCAAATAATTTAGCTACTGTTATCTAAAATATCAGAATAATTTTTGGATAACAAAAATAATGTGTTACTCTATGTCAGATTTTTCAAGTAGTCAAATGTATGGTATTTTCTTAGAAAGTATAGTTCTATAGTAAGTGTTGTTAGATGCCTGAGTTAATTCTGACTCATTGTAACTCTTTATATAACAGAAAAAAATACTGCATGGTACTTTACTATCTTCATACTCATTGTTATAATGTTACCACTTAGATATAGGTATTAGAAAGGTTAATTTGATTATGACATAAATCAACTGTTTGATGAAATGTGGCTGTGTTGATTCATCAAAAGTCTTGCTTCTCTTTCTTCATCTTCTTTTTCTCCCAGCGTCCGTGCTGCGTTGCACACAAGGTATCCTTTCCCTTTAACTGTGCAGTCTTTAAACTGCCCTAAAGAAAGAGAAAAGGGTCCCTTGTGGCACAACAGTCAGACATGTGGCTGCTAACTGAACAGCTGGCAGTTTGAACCTAACTAGCATCTCCACAGAAGAAATGCTTGGTGGTCTGCTGCCACAAAGATTAAAACCCTCTGCTGTCAAATCCGGCCAGAGTGACTCTCCTTCAGACCCTCCATCCGAAGCTCTAAATCTTTACAGGAAGAAACTGCCTATCTTTGTCCTGCGGAGCACCTGGTGGGTTCAAACCACTGACCTTTTGGTTAGCAGCCCAACGTGTTACATACCACATCATCAGGGTTCCTTTGCCGTGAAGGGTAGATAGCTTGGAAAATCCTTTGGTTCAGTTGTACTGTGTCACTTGACTTTCTGTGAGTCAAAATGGGCTTGAAGGTACCCTATAACAAAAAAGGGGGGGAAACTACCTAGGCAGTAAGAAACATATCTTTTCTCCTTCTGTGTGTGAACTTTTGTTACTTTTTGTTAGTCCAAGAAGTGTAAAACTTTGTTACCCTCTGTAATTTAACAAAATTAAATATTAATCATAGATGACTTAAAAATCTTTCTTTTTATTTCTTTTTAAATGATCAGAACATAAGAGAAGGTTATCCATTTAACTTCAGTTTTCCAACTTCCATGTTTTTGTGGAAACAACTCATATATTGAAAACAGTAAATGCTTTGGAACAGACAAGCCTAGTTTCAAATCTGTTTATAATGAGCAAGTTTATTAGTCTCTGTGTCAACTTTGTCATCTGTGAAATAAATAGGTTTAGTCATGTTTACTTCTTTGAGTTGTTGTAGAGTTCAAATGAAATATAACATAAAGCTTCCAGCTCAGTGTAGCATGTATTAGATGCATCCACAAAGCCACACTCATTGCCTTCAAGTCCATTCCAAGTCCTGGTGTCCAACCACCAGGTTTTTGAGACTATAAATCTTTATAGGAGGAAATGGCCCATCTTTTTCCTGCAGAGCAGCTGGTGGATTTGGATCACTGGCATTTTTTGTTAGCAACCCAGCAGATAATGCATTACATCGCCAATGTTCCTTTTAGTAGATGCACAGTAAAGGTTGCTATCATCTTTTACTTCCCTCAGAAAATTGCCTGGGTGGTATTTAGGCACAATGCTGGACTTTGGGACAGAACATACAGTTGATAATTGATGTTTCATCTTTAGTTGTTTGATTTGTTTGAAAAATGATAATTACAGGTACTAAATTGAACATCTTTGTGATCCTTGTCAGTAACCAATTTTTCTTTCTTTTACATAGTATATCCTGCTCCTCTAACGAGTATCAGAGGCCGAAAACCACTTTTTGGAGAAATAGGACACACGATTATGAACTTGCTTGTTGTGAGTAATTGAAATATTTTATTAAGTGTTTTTATATACTTTTTAAAATTTACCCAGCAAAAAAAAAAAAAAAATTTACCCAGCAAATTTCATACATTTGCATCCTAAAGAGTAAGGATTTTATTTTAAGGATTAACTGAATATGGAAACTATCAGACAATATCATTTATATTACATGCAAGCAAAACTCTACTGAATATCATTCAAAAACAGCTGGAATAGTTCATACATAGGGAACTGCCAAAAGTTCAAGCAGAATTTAGAAGAGGCCATGGCACCAGGAGTATTATTGCTGATGTCAGGTGGATCCTGGCTGAAAATAAGGGATACCAGAAGAATGTCTGTCTGTGCTTTATTGACTATGCTAAGGCATTTGACTGTGTGGATCATAACAAATTGTGGCTGACACTGAGAAGAATGGGGATCCCAGAGCACTTGATTGTGGTCATGCAGAACCTATATCTGGATCAAGAAGCTGTTGTGCTAATGTAGCAGAGGGGAACTGCATGGTTTGAAATTGGGAAGGGAGTGCACCAGGGTTGTAGTCTCTTTCCGTACCTGTTCAGTCTGTATGCTGAGCAAAATATCTGAGAAGCCGGAATCTAGGAGAAGGGGTGTGGCATCAGGATTGGAGGGAGACTCATCAATAACCTGCATTGTGCAGATGACACAACCTTGCTTGCTGAAAATGAAAGGGCTTGAAGCACTTGTTGCAGAAGATCAAGGAATGGAGCCTTCAGTATGGATTGCATCTCAATGTCATGAAAACAAAAATTTTTTTGCACTGGACCTATAGGTATCATCATTGTAGATGGAGAAGAGATTGAAACTGTCAGCAGCTTCACCTTGCTTGAATCCACAATTTAACACCCTTGGTAACAGCAGTGAGGAAATAAGGAGACACATTGAACTGGTAAAATCTGAAGTTAAGCATTTCTCCAAATTATTGAGGAGTAGTAATGTCAGTTTAAGGACTAAGATGCATCTGATTCAGGCCATAGTCTTTCCGATTACTTGCTATTCAGCTGAGAACTGGACAATAAATAAGGATAACAGGGAAAGAATTGATGCCTTTGAGCTGTGGTGTTGGAGAAAAACATTGAACATACCTTGGATGGCCAAGAGAACCAATAGATATGTCTTGGAGAGGTTACAGCTAGAGTGCTCTTTGGAGGAAGAATCACTAGAAAACAGTCCTCAGAACAGAGCATGGAAAATACTGCATGGTTCAAAATCAAGAAAGGAGTGTGTCAGGGATGTGTCCTGTCACCATACCTTTTCAGTCTATATGCAGAACAGATCATTTGGGAGGCTGGCCTATGTGAGGAGGAATGTGGAATCTGAAATGTACAACCTTGCTTGCTGAAACTGAAGAAGACCTGAAGCACTTGCTGCAGAACGTCAAGGACTGTAGTCTTCAATATGGATTGAAGCTCAATATCAAGAAAGAGAAGATTCTCACCAATGGGCCAATTCAAGAAGAGATTGAAGTTGTTAACAGGTAGAGCTTGCTCAGCTCCACAATCAACACTCTTGGCAACAGCAGTCAGGAAATCAAAAGACGAATTGCATTGGGAGAAACTGCTGTCAGGGGCCTCTCCAGAGTACTAAAAAGCAATGGCATTAGTCTAGAGACTAAGGAGTGCCTGATCCAGGCCATGGTCTTTGTAGTTTCCTGCTATGCATCAGAGCTAAGGACTAAGGACAATGACTAAGGGTGCTATGCATCTGAGAACTGGACTAAGGATGACAGAAGAATAATCGATCTCTCTTGAGTTGTGGTGCTGAGAAGAATATTGAATATACCATGGACTGCCTATCCTGGAGAAGGTGAAATCAAGCTGCTCCTTGAAGTCAAGGATTTTGAAGTTCCATCTCACATACTTTGAACATGCTGCCAGGAGGAGCCAGTCCTTGCAGAAGACATCATGCTTAGAAAAATAGAAGCATAGGAAGAAGATCCTAGGTAAGATGAACTGACTCGTTAAACAGTCTGCCTTTGAGCAAATAACACAACCTTGCTTGCAGAAAGTAAGGAAGACTTTAAGCACTTAGCTCAGAAGATCAAAGACTATAGCCTTTAATATTGACATGAAGAAAACAAAATACTCACCTCTGACCAATAGGCATCATCATGATGTTGTTATTGTCGTTATGTGCCGTCGAGTCACCTGCAACTCATAGTGACCCTATGTACAACAGCCCTAAATCCTGCTCTATCCTGTGACAATAACACTGCCTCTGACACACCTACCCCCGTTACCCCAGTCACTGAATCAATCCATCTCATAGAGGGTCTTCCCCCCCTGCGCTGTCCCTCCACCCTCCCAAGCATGATGTCCCTCTCCAAAGACTGGTTCCTCCTTACAACATGTCCAAAGTATGTCAGACAAAGCTGCAGAAACCTTGCCTCCAAGGAGCAGCCTGGTTTCATTCTCTCGAGGATGAACTTTTTTTTGTTCTCATAGCAGTCCACGGTATATTCAGCTCTCTTCTCCAACACCACAACTCAAAGGCATCAATTCTATCATCCCTACTTATTGTCCAGCTCTCTGATGCATAGCAAGTAATTGCAAAGACTATGGCTTCTATCAGGCACACCTTGTTGTTGTTTTTAAGTGCCATCTAATCGTAGATGGCTCATAACAACTCTATGAATGAAAGACCTGAACACTTATGTAACTTTCATCATTTCTCCAAGTCCATAGGGTTTCCGGAGGCAAGCTATTTTGAAAGTGGATGCCACTCCTGCTTGCAAGATTGTTTAATCGGTGGGCTCCAACAAACCCAGTCCACCATGGGTAACCATTATCATATTTGACACATCAGTGTCACAGAGTTCAGCATCACAACAACCACAACTTACATTGTACAGCAAATGGGCACATCAGTGTTATGCCACTTAGAAGAATGTTTGACCAAAAACAATTAAAACGTTTGAGGTACACCTTTGAGGAGAAAATATTGAAGTTGTCAGCACCCAAGAATTCAAAAGATGTGTTTCATTGGGAAGATATGCTGTCAAGGACCTCTGGAAATTGCCAGACCAGGGATGTCAGTTTAAAGACCAAGGTGCATCTTACCCAAGTTACTATATTTTCCATTGCTAAAAATCACATGAAATTTTAGCAGTGAACAAGAAAGGCAGAAGAAAGACCAATGCCTTTGAGTTGTGGTTTTGAGAAGAGTACTGAATATTCCATACACTATCAAAGGAACAAGCAAGTCTTATCATAGAGAAAGGGCAACCGTGGAGCTCCATAGAAGCAAAGATGGTGACACTTCATTTCACATACTTTGGACATGTTGTCAGGATGGGCCCATCCTTGGAAAAAGACTTCATGCTAAGGAAAGAGAGGAAGACCCTTCTCAAGGTAAATTGATACAGTGACTGTAGCAAAGGGCTTGAGCACATCAGAGGTGGTGAGCATGGCACAGGTTAGGACAGGGCTCATATCTGATGTTCATAAAGTCTCTATGAGTTATGGTTAATTTGATGGCACCTACCAAGACAACAGTGATAAAAGCCTAGTTCATTGAGGAGACTATTGGTAGCACTATGGACATCAAAGGCAATTC